CAGTAACAGTGCCAGATTAATATTAGTTCAGAACAATTTGTTATGTTTTACAGTGAGGTTGTGAGTAATGTTTAGGGAAAGTGAAGAAGAGGGAGGGGGGGGGTGCAGGCTTGTCTATCAACTGCTCATGAAAAGCACAGATACTTGTCTGTTCTATACGTTTCCACTCCTGCAGTGAATTCAGTCAATTCCGTACGTGGTCGGTGCAGCGACCGGAGGAACGCGATGGCGTTTTCCTCGTCCTCTTTCATCCTCTTCTTCAAACGGCGGAAACATTTGAATTCAGTTTCTCTTTCATCTTTGACTTTTTCATTTTTCTTGGTCACGGCTTCCTCTCAGAGGTTCTTTAACTCTCCTCACCTGAAGCTGCGGCTTTGTTTTGTTTTGGGTTTTTTTTTTTTGTTTTTTTTTTGGCAGGCAGTGGTTGTTACACCCTTCTCCTGTTCAACACCTTCAGGCTGCCACATGACACCACATGAGGCGTTCTGCCTCTTTGGCTCGGTGCATTTCACTGACGACAGACATTAACAAAAAATGGTTGTTGATTTTTTTTTACTTTAACGACAGATTGACAAACATACGGTCGATGATGTCAGAAAATGTGAACGTTTCTTAAAAATTTAAGTCTCAACTTAAGCCACAAGTTCACGTCCCAAACCTTGGCTTTCACCATTACACCCTAACTGTGGGTGTATGTGTGTCACCATATATAACAACAACGACCAATAACAGCTGATTCCCGGTGACAACACTGAGAGAATCTTAGGTGTAAATTCCAATATTTGAAGGGCATTTTTTTTTGGCCCTGAGCTCCGGCTGCTTCCTGACCTTGGTACCTGATCTCTCCGAGGACCTGGAGGCTGCGTGAAACCCAGCAGGACGTGGCGGCTTCTTCTAAAGGCGCTGGGAAGGAACCGCGTGTTCGACCAAACGTGTATCAGCGACAAACGCGTCTCTGCAGAAAGACCAGTCGCCGCCGCCGCAGCGCTGCAGCCATTCACCTGCTATCACCTTCTACGGCGTATTCCAATATTACTTCTATCTCGCCAATTTCTTCAGGGCTACTCGAGCACCTGGAGGGGGGCGCGGGGCAGTTAGCAGATATGGGATTGGGTCGCTCCCTTTTCCTCGGCTGTGGTTATTGTCAACAGGGTAGCATTCATGCCTAACAGGGCCACCAGAGGTTATCACTGAGCCGGAGTGTGTATGAGAAGAGGAAATCAAGCTGCAGGAACCTGACGTACATGGTTGTGTGTATGTAGCCCTCGGGCCCGGAGCGGGGGACAGGGCGCCGCTGTGTCTGTGTGTGCATGCATACATACGCGTGTGAGAGTGTGTAGTCACAGAGTGAAAGGAGAAAAAAAAAAAAGGTGTAATGAAAAAAAAAAAGTGTAGAGCCAGAGGCAGTGAGTGTAAAAATGGTGATGTGAGCCAGCGTCCACCTCAAACTGTGAATGTGCAGATACGATAACAGAGGGGCAGGAAGGCAGGAAGGCAGGTTTGGGTGGAGGTGGATTTGGACCTAAGCTCTTTTACACTGAGGGGAAAAAAAACAAAAAACAGCCCGACTAGAAACAAGTGACCGATCCTTAAATTGAATCAATTCCTCTCTCGTATCAAAGACAACAATCTACCAGTGGGGTAGGACTGGAAATGAACCGGTACCGATTCCAGTAATCGGTACCAATAGCAGTATTTAAGTAGGTCAGGTGTGTGACGTACTGTGATGAGATGACATCATGACCTCATTGTTCGGTCGAGCCTCTTACCTTTTTGTTGTTTTCTTTAATATCCTGAGGATTGAGGGACTTGTAGTCTCTGAAAAGACAACAGACAGGGAGGGGGGGGGGGGGTAAGAGGTGTGTCTAAAAATGTCTCACATGTGAAGACATTAGAACTGTCTTTAAAGTTAAAATGCAAAAATAAATGCAAAACGTAAAAGAACGCAAACTAAAGGTTCCTGGAGGAGGCGCTCAAGTTGCAAATTTTTGCGACTCTTTTAACTGCCATCAGCTTGTCAACAAAGTTTTTGGTTTTTTTTTTTTTTTTTTCATCTTTAATCGAGACTTAGTGCGGCTCTGGAATTGTCTGGGGCTGCATTTTAGCGTGATCTTCTGGGGACAGAGTGAGGACTGAGTGATGATGGATCTGACTTTAACTGAAACAGTGATTTCAAACCCAATACATATCATATAAATACCTACATATATCATTCAAACACACACACACACACACGCGGCGTGACAATCAACCCCGTGATCAAACGGGAGTCGGAGTCTGGAGGCAAAACCTGCGGAGGCGTCCGTGATCTCACTAAAAACACAACTACAGTAACAGTGGAAAGAAACAAACTGTGCTAATGTGATGCTAAGCTAACAGAAAAATAGCGACGTGATGAGAAGCTAATTGGTCCAAAATAAACAAACAAGACAGTTAGCCCAGTTTGTTGATACTTTGTTTACTTTTCCTCTTTAAACTGCTGTCACTAACGCTCCTCATTTTCTCACAGCGTCGGTGTGTGTGTTCAGCGTGTGTGTGTGTTCAGCGTGTGTGTGTATGTCGTACATGACGTCAGGTCTGAAGTGGTGCAGCAGGGCACAGAAGGCCAGTCCGTTCCTCCAGGAGGTGGTGAAGTTGGTGATCTTGACCCCGCGGTAGTTTTTGGTGACCTCCCGGCACCAGGCCAGCAGAGACTGACTGGCGTTGGGTTTCCCTCCCAGAACTGGACTTGGAATTGGACTGGGCTGCAGACGGAGAGGAGACAAGAGAGGGAAAGATTTAGGAAAAGTATGGAAAACAGACACATCCAACGTCTGGTTCAGGGACCAAATGTAGTCCTTGAATGAGTCTGTTGACAGAATCTTTAACAGTTTTTTTGGGGCTAAAACTGTAACGCATCAATTCTCAGTTCCCAAATTATTTACACAGAAGCAACACCAGCAATATTTGTTCAACACACCCCATCATTGAATTAATTCTGACTAAATTAAAGCTAACTTTATTTTTTTCACTACATTTTAAGTATTTGTATTGTACTTCAGTATCAGTACTTCAAATATATTTCTGCACAATTTACATAAGCTAACAGCGGGATACCTCAGGATAGAGTCGGTTCCATAGCATAACAGTTAGCGCAGTTAGCACGCCTGCCTCGGAAACTGAGAGCAGAGTCCTGGGTTCGATTCCCAGAGGAACCACTTGCTAGGGGGCAGCCTGTTAACAGCATATCAACAACAACGTCCCAAATATGCGATCAATATAGTAAAAAAAATATTTTATTATGTGATCAATATAGTAAAAAAAATATTTTATTTCTATAACTGTTGAGTCACTTCTGCATCTGCAGAATAAAACAATTAATCAAAAACCAACTTGTTTTTTTTTTCTTTCTTCATTTAAACGGTTAATGATGTCACCTCCTTGATCTCGTCTCCACCCGTCCAATTTTAGCAGTGACACAAATGGAGCCACACATGCACGCGTGGTCTAATGAGGGGGTCGTTCATAACCGCGTTTGACCGTGGATAATGTAAACATATTATTAATTAGCTCCGCCTTTGAAGCCTTATCAGACTACAAAGGCCTCCACCATTAAGAACCTAAAAAAAAATCCCACAATTCCTCAGTGGTCCAGGGACAGAGAGGGGCTGAAACAACAACCGCTAGTCTGATTATCCACATGGCGATTGGTTAATCTGGTTATGGAGGCACAGATACGGCCTCGCTCTCTCTCTCTCTCTCTCTCTCTCTCTCTGATCACTTCATGGTAAAAATGTCACAGAGATTTTCCTTTGAATTCATCACAGCCCGGGGGATGAAAAGGCCACTAAATATGTTGGAGTGTGTGCGACTGTTGAGCAGCGAAACAATAAAACCGAGGCAGGACTAATATTCCAGATTAGCCTAATTATAATTAAATCACATCAAATGGTCGTTTAAACGGTTTCATGTCACTGATCGTAAGAAAGTTTGGAAGAACTGAGCGCCTGACGTTCCACGGGCCTCAGTTTTTTTTTTACTCGAAAGCTGCTGTTGCATGTAAACACGCCTCCCTCTCTCTCCCTCTCTCTCCCCCTCGGTCTCTCACACCCAGCTGATGTTTAATCTTTTTTTTTTTCTTTACACAGGTAAAGGTCAGAGTCAAACCTTTATTTAACATTTGGAAGGTGTAACGTTCATGAAAGACACAGCCGAGGCCTGAGAAAACTGCACGGCTCACAGGACACACCGCCTGTGTAGTGGCCGTGCAGCGCCCTCTGTTGGTGGAGCTGTGCCACTGAAACGGACTTTTCTAGAGCTATTTACTGTACAAGGACACTTTAAAAAAACATGTAATACAGAAAACTAATTCTTTATTTTTTTCCTCATTCTATTCTCTCTTTTTTTTTAGTTTATCACATGATATGAAGATTTATAATTTAGTTATAAAAATGCTGTGATACAAATATAAAAATATCATTATTTTTTAAAAAGTACTAAACTTTTACTTTGTTGTTTTTAAGTCTTCAAAACCTGTGTTTACACAGATAAAAAAAAGATCATATTTGTTGAACATAAACAAAATTCAGAAACTACTGCAAAAACCAAAGAAAAAATTGCGAGAAGGAGGAGCAACATTCAGCTCCTCATTTAGAAAGTTCTAAGAACTGAGTCGTACAAAATAGGATTCCATGAAACAAAGGTTCAAAAATCAGCATCTGTAACAAAGCTTCAACAGGAACTGCAGTACTGGAGGTCTGAATATCTGGAAAGTACTACGAACCAGGAGGCTCAAAATTCAAATTCGTAGTTTTGTCCTGGACCTGCAGACGTGGGATCAATGAGGTTCATCTCAGTGATAGTTCAGACTCGTCAAACACGCACAGTTAAAGGAGCGGCGGCGTCGAAGCCGCAGGAAGTGGCTGCACTCTGCGAGCACCTGGACAATTCCTGCCTCCCGCTCGTCTATTGTTGCGGTTTAACCTGTGACCACGGAGCCTGGAGCATGCTGGGATGCCACAAGGGCCGGAGCGAGATGAAAGAGACGGTAGGCCGTCACTAACATCAGCTCCTAACCTCTGTTCCTCAATGTGTGTGTGTGTGTGCCCCCCTCCACCCCCACCCCCCAACGGCAATCTGAGAGCAGGGAGACGGTACGGCAGCCCGAGGGACGGACACTTGACATTTCCGGCTCATCTTTTAAAAGAGGGCCTTAACCTTTTCCCCACAGCTTCTCCAGACCCGTTTAAGGCGGCCGTGTCGATGCCTGAGAGCGGCTCACACGGGCGACGGGGGAAAGGAGTCAAATCGACTGTGACAAAAAAAAAACGCTGGTAAAATTCAAATAGTCTCTGCAGCACTTTCAAGATTTTAGTTTCAAACTTATCTCGCTTCATAACATCCGGATAAACGGTCTGTAAATTTATCTACATTTCTGTCACAAATTCATTTGTCTGGACTAACGTTTTATAACAGTGACTGAGGCGAATGAAACAACAGTTTTAGACGTTTGTTTTTGTCCTTTTATTAGTATTTTGGGGTTGTGGTAACTGTGGTGCAGTGGTAGAACCCCCTGCCTCCCCCCTGGAAGAATCAGCATTCGTTACTAGTTCATTAATCAAAGACTGGGTTGCGTCAGCAGGGACATCACTGAGCGACTACGATTTGGTATTTTAAGCCCATTTGTAGAATTCTATTTTATCTATAGATTCAACTGAATCATTTTGGGTTTGATTCATGTTTTAACATGAATATATCTATAAGATCTGACCTGGAGTAAACTCTACTGCACGTTGTTTGTCCTCGTTTCTGCTCAGGCTACTGTTGTGTGAATGCATGACTGTCTGTGTTTGTGGACTTCCAGCTCGGAGTGGTCTCTTCCTCCGGGCCTTCCTCCTGCTCTGCTTTTCTTAAGTGACGGTTGAAAGTGGCTGTCCAATTTGAGCGCCCTAATTACCTGGGATTAGAGACCAGGTGCTATTAAAGCAATTAGACACACACAGCACACTCCAGCAGCGCCGCAGACCCTCAGCCCTCAGCCAAAAGAAACACACACACACACACACACACACCAGCAGAGATAGCAGGGAGGAGGGAGGCTTGAAGTTTCCTCTCAGCTTACCTAACGTTAATTCTGTTCAGTGTGTGAGCCAAGAGAAAACAAACACAACAGTAATAATAAAAAAAAACTGTGGAAGCATCCCAGTGTTACTGTGACGACCCACGGTGACCCACAGTGACCCACAGTGACCCACAGTGACCCGCAGTGACCCACACCTCCAACCAAACACCGACTGTTGTCATTCGCCCTCAATCGTTTCATTACGTTCCGTTCAGATAAAGGTTTACAAACGCATCCACGCTCGTCTGGCTTTCAAATCCATTACATACTGAACAAATAGCATATCTCCTGCACCAGCACCAACTGTGCATCACCTTAAGACACAAACACGGGAGGAGGAGGAGGAGGAGGAAGAGGAGGAGGAGGAGGAGGAGAGACATTTTCATGAGGAGCAGAAATTCACCCCGACTTATCAAACAGTTTGGCTGCGTTGCCCGGAGGAGGATGTGCACATTTATGTCGTGTGTGTTTCTTTTATCTGACTGTGTGAATGTCACTGTGTGTGTGTGTGTGTGTGTTTCACTGACACACACAGCCATGTAGCCGGCTCTGCTCGGCTCGGGGGGAGGATTAGCGAAGAGCATCGCCTGGGCCCACAAACAGTCCATATTAAAAAAAAAAAAATGAAAAGTTAAACCTTCATTACTATCAGTGGTACATAACCTTCCTCCTCCTCCTCCTCCTCCTCCACCGCTGCTGCTGCTGCTGCTATTATACACAACCCTAACAGCACGGGCCAAGAAAATACAAGAAATTGACAAGAGATTCCATTATTCCAGGAGCCTCGGTGTCAACAACGTACACCCGACAGAGCAGAGAAAGAAAGAAAGAAACGGGACAAAAGGGTGAGAGAGAGAGAGAGAGAGAGAGAAAGGTTTACGCTGTGCACCAGGTCTGAACGACATGACAGGAAGAAGGAACCAGGCCACGGACGCAGCCTGGTCGTAGTGTAAGGAGGATAAGGAGGGGGGAGGGAGGGGGGAGGGAGTGAGATATGAGGGAAAATAAACTATTAAACTGTCACTGGTTGATCTGGGATGTTAAGTAAACCAACATTTTGAGACTGTTGACTTTACACCTTGGTCATGAGCCAAGATCGACTCCACTGTTTAAGGGCAGAGGCAATAATAAAGTGCTTAGAGTAGTTTGGCAAACGTCCATTATTTACAATGAGTGTAACAGAACACCAGCAGTTAATCCAACTTCAAAAACAGTTTTTCATGCCTCCGACAGGCCAGAAAAAAAAAAAAAAAAAAAAAAAGGTTAGAAATATGTAAGACAACGAGAGATGAGTTCTGGTTTAACGATGGAGAGAATAAAACGCTCAAGACTGGAAAAAGTTCCACGTCCAAACGTCCGAGATCCGAGATCCGAGTCTGAGTCTGAGTCTGAGTCTGAGTCCGAGTCTGAGTCTGAGTCTCGAGTCTCGAGTCAGTCATAAAAAAGATACAAGTCAAAAGCTTTAAGTGGCAGCTTTGTCTCTCACTTCAGGGCGCAACGCTTCAGTGGAAACTTAACTGGCCTCAACCCAATGACATAAACCCACGACTGTGTGCAGAGAAAAGCGCTTCCATGTCTTTCCAATCTCTCTTTCAAGGCTTCAAAGCTGTGTCAGACAGTGTCAGATTTGAGGAGGTGTTGAAT